AGGAAAGGGTTTTGTTCCACTAATACGAGGAGGGATGTGTATATAGATCCAGAATTATATTCCTCCTGTTTCATTGGGCCTTTGTCATCCTTTAGAATTAACTGTGTTTGTACCAGATGGTTGTTCGGGAGATTTCTTCCCCCAGCACCCTTTGTACCTCTTTGACTTCTTCCCCTTTGAATCTCTAGCCCTGCCTCAGAAACTTTACCCCTTTTATAAACACCTAATTTTTGTAAGTTTTTTGCCTTGTTAAATCATCCTCGGTGTAAAGGTCCAGTATTTGTCTTCATCATTCGGAATCCCTTTGCTGCACATAATTCGCTCAGGCTCCTTCCACTTGCTGTGAATGGCAACATTTCTTCTTTCCTTGTGTCTGAACAGTATTCCACTGGGTGGCTACACCACGTCTTGATCCATCCTCCATCATCGGGCACTTTGGTTGTTTCCATATCTGGGTGATTGCAGCCAGTGCTGCAGTGAACGGTGTAGAGCGTGTATTTTTTAAATTGATGGTTTCATCTTCTTCGGTTAGATGCCCAAAGGTGGGGTTGCTGGTCACATGGTACTTCAATTTTTAGATTTTTTTTAATATTTATTTATGCATACAAGAACTGGGGTGCAGACCAGAGGTACAGATGGGATGAGAAGATTCACCAGAGACAGAGTGGGGAGCAGAACAGGCGGGTCCACTAAGATACACTGCTGAGGGGAGCAGTAAGTGAGACAGGAGATGTCTGCTGTGCTATGTGGGTTAGGTCCCTAGCCAGGGATCGAACTCGTGCTGTAGTGGCTGGTGATAGCTTGATGTTACTGAGACTTTAACCCCTGAGCCACCAGGGAAGCCCCAATTTTTAGATTTTTAGGTAAATCCAGATTGCTCTCCAACAAGCTCCAGCATTACTAACACCACTGCAAGGTAATGATTGTCCATTAAGATAAATCTAACTTTAGCTTTTATTATCATTTTAATTACATGAACCCTGGGGTGTGTTTATAATGATGAAGAATGAGCTAGGATATTGCTCCGCCAGGTGGGGTTGTCTTTGTGATCATCTAGGGGGTCAATCTCCGTGATGCTGAGAGTGGGATTCTCTCCATTGACTCCTTAACTTAATATCTCTGGTTGTTTTGAAGTTTATCGCATGAAGGGAGTGAGTGCAAGACCAGTGTGGATAGCACCAAGACACTGTCCCAAAAGATGACGCAAATGACCCCTCCAACCCACTTCCTCCTCCCAACAGCAAGGAGGGCTGAGCAATTTGGATGTCAAACAGAGGAGGCTTAGAATTTCCCAGTAGATCTCAATTTGTACTTTTGTTTATCTTTTATGTAGAAATAAAGGGGAAAGTGATGGGTGACTTAATCCCCCTGACAAAATAATCTCCATTTTTAACTTCCCCTTTACTGTCAGAGGTACCCTAATTTTTTGTTCCTCTTAGGCTCATTCTCTTACCATGCAAACAGGCATTCACTGGGAGAAGGGATGTTGGGTTTACAGAAGCCAGCTGGTGTGCAGCACAAGCTGGATACTTCACAATCCTTCCTGAAATATTCTGAAGCGAGGATTCTTTGCAAATGAGAAAACGAAGGCTCAGAGAGGTTAAATAACTTCCCTGAGGTCACACAGCTTATTAGAAGTGGAACTGGTTCTAGAGCCCAGGTTTTGGAGCTCAAGAAACCAATACCTTTTAGTTGTACCACTCTTGACCTGGATAGACTTCAGCATTTATGGATGCATCTACTACTAGTTGAAGAAAATGTCAGAGGTAGAATTTGAACCAGGCCTGGCTAACTCTACAGCACGTTCATCAAACCCTTTTTTGAAGTAATGACTAGGTTCTTACCACAGCAAAAATGACATCGTCCCTGCCTCAGCGAGTTCCAGCCAGGAACAGTAGAGAGACATGGAAAAAAAGACACAGACTGGGAGCATGCTGTGTTGGAGGCTGGGAAACAGCTTGGTTGGAGCTTCACCTGCCTGGGGCAGTGGGAGGGTGGCCCAGGGAGAGTGGTGACTTCCAAGAAGTGACTTGAAAGAAGAGCAGGCTTCGGATGAAGGCAGGTTATGTGCTACTTCTAAGAGAATAAGCCATGAATAATAAATACATCTGCTTCTCACCTCACGTTCTGTGCCCCCAAAGATTCCTCAGTTTTCTACCCTTTCCTGGGGTTTCCTTTCTGCATACAAACTCATCCGAGTGTTCTTTTACTTCTAATTGAACACTCTACCTTAATTGATTATGTATTAAGTCGGGGACTTGGGGCGACATTCAGGCCTGAGCGCATGTTGAGATTAATTTATTCCTGTAGTCCTACTGTTTTGCCGTGCATCCGAGCAGCTCACACACGTGTTAAAAATAAAGCCGAGAGCCGGGGCAATGTAATTAGATGGCTCAACCCAACACTCTGGTATTCAGTCTTCACCAAGCTCTCCTGCTTTGATGGTAACCAAAATAGATGAATAAGTTAATCAAAGGTCTGATTAAATAGCAAAGCTCTGCAGCATGGACCAGTGATTGCCAAGCTTCAGTTCAGGAAAATTCTCCAGGGAGAGAAGAAACTGAGCTGAGTTCAAAGGCCAGGGCTTTCATGAGGATGAGTTTTATAAAGCCCACTGGAGGGAATTACAGAGTCCTCAGGCTTCAGATCTTAAAATGATGGCTAGTCATGAAGCTCTAGCTCCAAAGGAAGGTTTCAGGACAGAATGCAAACCTTCCCCTGGCAGATTCCAGTAATAGCTTTACATCTTGCTTGCTGTGCTTGTGGGCAAATCACTTGCTTACTGTGTGTTTACCCACCCATTGATTTCTCTGTCCCCCCATCCATGTATTCATCCACTCATCCATCCACCCATCACGTTATCTACCCACATATCCACCTCCCCCATCCACCTATCCATCCACCCACTCACCCATCCATCCACCCATCAATCTGCCCATCCCATATCCATCCATCCATCCATCCATCAATCCATCCATCCATCCATTCATCCATCCCACAGACAGATGTCTGCATTTATCATGCATAGGGCATTGTGCTTGGGTCTTGCCATTATTTAATATTACAGCTATGACTGTCTTAGGCTTGTCTCTACAGTTTTTCTCACCTGTCACCTTATTTTGTGCCCCTTAAGGCTAATGAATAAGGGCTATGTTCATTCCTGAGCTCACTTTTCCTCTGGCTCCTTGGGTTTTCCCAGAGAAGTACCCTAGCAGGAGATTGGTGGGTAGAGGGAGGAAGAGGTGGGATGTTTTTCCCTGTCCCGTCCTGTGGTACAGCCACGGGTAGACTGTGTCCCTCAGCTGCCGATCACGCTCCTGCTAGGTGACTTAACGCCTGTGGTTGCCTCCCCTGGATTCCAGCAGCTGCCAGGATTGGCTCTCAAGCCTTGGGTGGTCATAACCCCCCATCCCTCCCCTCGACTAGTGCTGCCCAGTCCTTGTTAGTGATCTGATGCTTGCATTTCTCCTTCCTCTGCATAAATTGAGGTAAATGTGTTTTTATGTTATTTAATGACACAGAGCAGTTATTTAGCAAAAATAATTTTAAGACATGCTTTTTAAAACTGCATCAACTTTCTTTTTAGTCCATCTTAATTCATGTTATTTTTAGCCACTGCATAGTACAACTTCAAATAACAATGTCATGTTGTAACTAACTTCAGTGGGCAGGCTTTTGTTTATTTTTATGACATGGTGATGAACATCTCTAGGAATAAAACTTTTGACTTCTTATTTTTTTAAAAGATTTATTTAGTTATGCATACAAGAGCTGGGGTACAGGCCAGAGGTGTGGGGGGTGAGAGGATTCACCAGAGACAGAGTGGGGAACAGAACAGGCAGACTGACTGAAATACACTGCTGAGGGGAATAGCGGGCGTATCAGGAGAGGTCTGTTGCGCCATGTGGGTTGCTCCCTGGCAGGTCGGGGGTAGAACTGGTGCTGCAGAGGCTGCAGATTGCTTCATAGTGCTGTGCTTAACCCCTTGCGCCCCAGGGAGGCCCTTATTTTTATTTTATTTTTATTTTTTTTTTTAGTTTGACTTTTTTTTTTGAACATTTTTACAGAAAAATGTTCTCAAAACAGAAACGTGGACAACAGGATGAATTTTTTTTTGAATCTTGGTAACATGGCCACATTCCCATTAAAGGGTTCCATCACAAGTGTTAACTTCTGGCAAATAGAATGTGTACTTTGCTTCCTTGGAAACTCCCCAGAGCAGCAGGGTTCATTTATGGACTCTGCCCATAAATGGCATGTACCTTTGAAGACTTCCCTTACAGTGGTGATTGGATTAGTTTTAGCGTTGCCTTTACTAATGAATCCACCAATCTGTGGGACAGTTATTATCCCATTATATCGTGAGGATTTCAATGCTAGCACGTCATGGGCTATTTGTTTCTATCCGTGTGTTTGTATATGTGCATACATATGTACCGGGGTGTGCACCTGCACTCTTGCTACCCACTGAAAGATGTTGTGTAGATGATGACCAGTTCTTCTGTATTTCTCTGAGAACAGGAAAAGGCAGCAACACTAATCAATTGGCTAGTTTTACCTTTAAAAAAGTAAGCATAACCTTTAGCAAAGCCGGTAAGTAGTAATTGTTAATGACCCAGAAATGGTATGTGACTTAAAGTAATTTATCTACCTAGAAACAAATAGGAGCTTGTTCAAATTCTGTACTTTTATTCCACATTTTGTATATATTCTTATTTTCTCCAGTGAGTTAAAACCTTCTGAGCATAGTGTTTGTATGACATAGTTATTTCAGAAACATTACTTTTCTGCTTCCTTCATTCAGATACATTTTCTTCTAAAATAATTTACATGTCAAAATGTAAATTACATGAACAAATCTTTAAGAAAATGTTTATTCATGTATTCAACAAAATTCACTGTGTACTATATTATATATTAGGCAGTATTTGTAATATTGATGCAAAAAGTTAATGGAGTGATTTTTTTTTTTTACTTCCTCTCTTTGCTAACCTGTCTAGTCTGAAGTTTCCTGGATCCCCAACAAACATTACTCTGGAATTTATGGTCTGATGAAGCTCGTCCTGACCAAGACCCTTCCCGCCAACTTGGAGAGAGTCATTGTCCTTGACACAGATATCACCTTTGCAACTGACATTGCGGAGCTGTGGGCTGTATTCCACAAATTCAAAGGTAATTTTGCCCCTTTCCCCTCCTCCCCCAGTATCTTTCAAAGTATCCATAGAGAATCGATTGTCTTTTTTTAAAAATGTGAGGTCACCTCCTAATGAGGTCATGCTAATGAAATGGAGGAGCAATTATAAGTACAGCTGAGTACCAACTCTGCTCCCATTTAAAACACACTAGGGTAGGACTGGACCTTGGGTTGCCTTCATCCATGAAAAGGTGTAGCCTGTGCTCACAGGCCAAGCCGATTCACGGTGCTTTGTTAGAGATAAATAATGAATGTGTGGATTTGGGATGAAGGTAATGGAGCGTTGGCTTGGCTGTGCAGAGACGTGCATTTCTCCATTTCCCCTTTTCATCAAATGATTGTTTGATGGCTCAGGAAGCCTGTGAGTTGGTGGAGATGGGTATCTACTATAGAGTGTTTGAAAATGTTCTTATAGCTTTTGATTTTGTTAACTGTGGTTTTTCATTTCAAGGAGGTCTAAAGTTTGGCTTTACTAATGTTCCTTCTAATCAGGTTGTTTTCTTTTTAGCTATTTTAGTAGCTTTTGTCCTTGGCTTAAGGTATGTGAGAGTATCTAATGGAGATCATGAAGCAGTTGTTTGTTCTTAACTCTGGGTTGAGTTTTATTCCGGAGAGACGTCATAGTGCAAGTCTTCCTTAAAATGTATTATTTAAAAAAAAAAAAATCTTCTATTTGTCTTTATTTTTTTTTATTTTATAAATTTTTACATCATTTTTCACTTTTGCACAATGTATGCATTTTCATCTTGGTTATATTCCCCATACAATTCCCACCCTCCTTGTTTTGACCCTAATCCCTCCTCCTTCCCCCTGAGGGTGTCTCTGGATACTGTCATTTTTAACGCACAGCAATTTAAAAATCACAGACTGTTCAACTGCTTTTTATTTCCACTCTTGAACAGAGGAGTAAATTCCTCACCTACTCTAGTCTCGTCTGCTTCTTTCTGGGGGCCACTTTAGTCTGGGCTAATTGAGAAGAGTCCTCTGCACAGCACTGTGACCCTGGGACTCTCCTTGTCGGGATGAAAACTTCCTTTCGGTCCCTGTGTCAATAATGACACTAATGAAGTCATCATTTAGCAAAACTGTAGAAACCCAGTGTGTCCCAACTTTCAAATCTCTTCTTCAGAGGAGGCTTGTATCTGCCCTTTCATTTTACAAATAAAGAAACTGAAGCTTGGGGGGTGATGCGGGGTTTTGCCTAGAGTTAAGACCAGGATACTTCCATGCTCACAGGTTTCAAGTTCCCCTGTCATTTCTGCTGCCCTTACTGATCATAATCAACTTGCTGGGGCTGTTTGATGATGATGTATTATCGTGTGCATATTATGTGCTTATGTTCAGTGATGTGTTAACTGAAAGACGTTTATCTCATCCCTCCTGAGTGTCAGGTGCACCCCTACTATCGGGTGATGTGCTGGGCCCTGGAAGTGAGGATCAGATGAGCAGTGAAGGTGAGGGAGGGTTGTCGCCTCTCCTGAGGAGTCTGCAAAGGCAGCTGGCGATGTGGTGACCAGGCAATATTTTGTGGAACAAGTGTCAGGTGGCGTGCAGTAGGGAATAAGGGACTTGTTACTCCAGTGGCTGTCTGCAGAAGCCCCTCGTCCCCCTTTGAGGATGGCCGCAGGCAGACACCATCAACTCCGTGACCACACTCCCTACCTGGAACCTGCACATCATGGCAGCACTGTGGAAATTTGCAGGGCCGGCCGTAGCCCCCCCTTGAAGAATACCTGGCCACTTGATCTCTCTCTCTGTCCAGAGTTCTCTCACCTTGCCTTTCACAGGTGCTGTTCTCAGAAGCCCTCCCTAAATGACCCTCTTGTACACTAACTTCCATTATCAGTTGGCTCCTGAGAAACTCAGCCTGCGATATGCATTTAGGCTGCAGGTTTCCCTGGGAGAGATTTCACTGCAAAGTCTCTCTGGGACAGGCAGTCACCATGGGCACATTATAACTAGGAAATCACATTTATCCGAACCCTTCTTGGACCTGCCATGGGGCTGATGGGGTTTAGGAGCCAGTAACAACAATTGGGTGCAGGTTCTAAATGCCGGTGGCAGGGAAAGCCATCAGGGCTCTCGCTGTTCCCAGAGCTGACCTGAGTGTCTGGATGTGCAGGATTCTGAGGTTCAGGGCACTTCCCAGACAGAGAAGTCCGTGAGCCAATGGCAGGACAGGGGCAGGGAATCGGAATGCAAGGCGGCCAGAAATGGGCTGCATGTCATTTGTATTTCCTCCTGTTGGCTTATGGCGAGCATTTGCTAGGCACCTCTGCAGGGCAACTGGCTACTAGATGCTGTTATTGTCTAAGGCTCTGGAAGATAGCTCCTGCCTTCAAGGAGCTCTCAAACAAAGGGCACGGCATTGCATTTTTATATCTCACTAGCAAAAGAGTATAAAACATCTGAGACTTGCCCATCCCCACCCTAATTTTTCTGGGAAAATACAGAGGTGAAAAGAAAATAAGTAAGCTCTTCTGTTCTCCATATGGCACACTCAGTAGTTTTGTGGAATGAGTGAGTGAGAGAGAGAGAGTGTGTGTGTGTGCACGCACACGCGCGTACATGCGCAATTGCGCATGTGATTATATATTTCCTAAATTGGAGTGATGGGAAGCCAGGCCCTGGAACAGAAAGAAAGTCCCTTAGTACAAACCCATAAACATAGAACATTCTGATCCAGTAGCAAGAGTTCCCCTCTCATAAAGCTAATTGCAGTTGACATCTTTCACTGTAAACATTTTGAGTGACACTGATGCAATTTGGCCTTGTTAATTTTCCCCTGTTTAGAGCCGCTAGTTATCTGGGCCTGCTGTACCGTGTGTTCAGATCAGAGAAGCTTGACTTCTCTCAGCTGTGACTCCCCCTTACCTGAGTCATTCCGCAGGGAGTCTCGTGAGCAGCCTGCGTGAGAGCCGACCCCAGCCAGCCTCCACCCCCCGGGCAGATCTGCCTGCCTCTGGGCATTGTCCAGGTGCCCCCCCAATCCCACTTCACTGAGTGCAAAGTCCTCCCATGTCAGCAGTCTGTGCCCTGTGGAGGAGCCTTCCCCAAAGCACTGCTGGGGGCTTTTCAGAGCCACTGATTCTTAGCAGAAAGAATCAGACACGTCTTTAGAATTAGAATGAGAAGTCAGCCATTCAGACATATTTACAGAGCTGACTAGATGCCAAATAGCTTCCTGACTGTTGGAGATGATGCAGGAATAAGAGAAATCCGATCCCCACCCCTGAGAGTTCCTTGGGGGGTGTGGGTGTGGAGAGACAAACAATAACCACATTAACAAGTAGAATATAGTTTGGTTGTGTGTGTGTGTGTGTGTGTGTGTGTCAGTATTCAATCAGGGCAACAATAGATGGTCTTACATGAAAGGTAACAAGCAAAATCCTGAAGAAGTTGGGAGGACACGTGGGCAGCTGTCTGAGGATGAGAGGAACAGTGTCCAAGTCATAAGGAACAGAGAGTGTGAAGCTGCCTGAGCCATGGGGCTGTGGTGTTGTTATAGGGCAACCCCGATATTGAACTGGTTGCCTGGCTGTGGGTCCTCACCCGCGCGCTTACAAGGGACTTATGAATACTCCACTGCAAGCACACACAAAAGGTTAATAAAAGGTTTATTTACAAGGGAAAAGGAAATAAGGAAAATGTACAACTCAGGAAGAAAATAGGGAAACAAAGTCTTTAATGCGTCCTACCCGATCCGCCGACCTGGAAACCCAAAGACACTCTCAGAGCTGGCCGGAGGCTGGGAGCTGGCGGAGAGCCAAAATGGGGGACCCCCCCCTCCAAAGCCCACGTGTCTGGCTTTATACCAACTTGGCTGCTTAACCGCACCCTCAGGTCCCAGCCACCTTCCCTTTGGTGGTGATGGGATTTGTCTCTCCCAATGTCTTCTGGCTTTGGCCTGGGGTGGGGGTGGAGTCCACAAAGCCTGTATGGAATTAGCTTTAGGACATCCTTTTCCCCCTAACAGTGTCAAAGGAGGGGGTGAGGTGAGGTCAGAGCACAGTGATCTCTGGGTCAGGCCACCAGCCCTGTCTGTAGGGTCCTGGGGGATGTGTCTTTTCCCATCAGTGAAGAGGGAAGTCATGTCACCTTTGATGGGGGGGGGGGGCGGGGACACACATATCTGCTGATGTTTTTAATGGCTCATCTGGAGAGTAAGGGCAGGCAGAAGCCATGGAGGAGACTGGGTGTTCATCACCCAGGGAGACGCATTGTGGGCTCAGGCTGAGTCGAGCAAGGGGGGAGGAATTCTTCCTGTTAGGGACACATTTTGAAGACCTAACCCTCAGGGTGCTTGGCTGATCTGAAGTGGAGGGTGAGAGAGCTCAGAGCAGAGGATGACCCAGGTGGCTGGGGTGGGGGGTGAAGAGGCATTTGTGAGCTGTAGGCGGTGACCAGCCGCGGGCGAAGATCAGGAGGGCTGTGTGGGGCATTCACAGTGGGAGAAGCCCAGCTGGATGTCCACGTGGAGGTGGCATGGAGGCAGCCAGATGAAGGGAGAGCAAAGTGAAAGGGAGCTACTCTCCCTTAAGTGCTTCTGTTCCAGGCTCTGAGCTAGAAGCTTGGAACATTTGAAATGCAAAATGAACTGCCCTTCCCGCCCCACAGAGGTTAAATACCTTTTTGTGCTCACCAAGCTATTGCACCACAGAGCTGAACCCCAGCCCCTTGGCTTTGGCGGCTGCGCCCTCCATGGCCTCCTGCCCTCTCCGGGCTTCCTGGCAGGTGGACACAGGGCCTGCATGGTCCTCAGTTCAGGTGTGACTGCTGGTCATGCATCACCCATGACCGCTGAGTGCCAGACCTTGACTGCACAAATATTTGGAAATAATACCTGATTCTAGCAATTTGGGGAAGCTGTTGTGAAGGAATAAATAATAAATGCACACCCATGGTTTGAAGCTTTCGGAAGAAAGCCATGCTGAATATTCAAGATAATGTTTTTATGCATAAGGAAAATGCCTTCCCT